CTGCTCCTCCTGCACTGCCCATCCATGTGGGGATAGGAATGTAGAAGTGATGCGTGGCCAGGACTGGGGCTTGGAGACCTGCTGCTGAGCTCCAAGCTGGCCAGAAAGCCCCTCCACCCATCTAGACCCCAGGGGTCGGGTACAGGCCTCCGGATGCGCCCGTGCTGATTGTGGGGCCGTGCGGCCCTGCCTCCTCGGTTCCCAGCCCAAAGGGGCCTCTGAGCCGGCGAGCCTGCCACAGGGCAGGGTGGTTCTAAGCTGGAAGGGTCCCGCCTCTGCCTAGTGCCTGAGCCTCTGGGCCAAGGTGAGGGTGCCTAGACATGGCACGTGTGCCCCTTCTCTTCCCAGGCTGGACCTACCCACTTCAGAAACCCCAGCTCCCTGGGCTGGGAAGAGCTGAAGGCGCCTCTCTTCTCCCCGGGCACCTTCATGGCTCCCTTGTCCACCCCAGACTTGAGGCCTGGCTTCCTCCTTCAGTGCCATGTCAGCCCTCTTAGCAAAGGGACAGGGCATTCTGCAGTGACCACAAGATTAGGAAATGCCAGGGCCGGGCCAAGGTGGGGAAGGGGACACTGAGGCAGGCTCCCTTTGCACCCCGCCCTGGAGCCTGGCCTCCGTCTCCACTGTGTGAGGGCTCGACATCCTCCCTCTGTCCACCCCCACCAGGCAGCCAGCTCATCACCGGAGCCCAGAAGGGGCTGGACATGGCAGAGACCAGAGGGGTGTGGTTATGGCTGAGATCGGGAGGCCAGGTGGGAGATGCTGAGGAAGTGTAGACCCTCAGGCAGCTCACGTGCCAGCTCTGCACCCCAGCTTCTCATGGAAACGAGCACGCGCTATCTCATCCCTCCCGGTGCTGCTGGGACGTCGGATGGACTAATTTGTGATAACGCCCTCGGACACCATTCCCGACAGGAGGTTACATGCTCTCTGCAGGCCTTACCAGTAGTGGTTAGAGGGCAAGAGTCATCGTAGTCGCAGAAGTACAATAGGGGCCAGCAGGTGGTGTGGTAGTTAAGGTGCTGGACTCTCACACGGCCTTCTGAGGTTCGAGTCCTGCACCTGTGAGCTTGAAAATCACCCTGGGTGCTAATGCGTGTGTACCGAAAATCCCAGGAGGAGAATAGAAGAGAAGGGGTCGGGCATGGCCATCGCCCCGGTGGGGTGATTTCTCACTTACCCTCTCACTGTCTCTCTCTAGTGAATGCACATGCCCTATGGCAAAAACCTTAAAAACAAAAAGCAAAACAAAAACAAGAAGTATGAACCACAAAATCAGGTCATGTTTTTTTCCAGACTAGAGATTGAAGATCATAGGGAGGGACTGTCTTATTCAGTCCTATATTCCTATGTCAGGCACAGAGACTGGCTTGGAGTAGATTGAGTGGTTGTTCTTGAACTGCGATCAAAGGAAGGGTGAAGTCCGGGTAGCCTGCTTGGAGGAAGTGCTGCAGCGGGGCTTCTAGAGATGAGGAGGGGTTAGAAAATCTGTGGGAGAGACATTGGCAGGGGAGTGAGGGGAACATCTACAGTCCCAGATAGGGTTGGGGTAAGAGATGGAGGAGGCCCCCTTGGTCATGCCCAGGGCTTATTTAACTCCCACCTACAGCATTTGGATTTACCTGGTAGGCAGTGGGGAACTATTAGGGTTAATAGAGCAGGGGAATAAGCTTTCTTTGTTGCTCAGTTTATTTTGTGTCTACTCCCTTGTTCTCTCAAGGCTATTTCTATTTTATTTTTTTAAAGAATTATTTACTTGATTGTTATTTTTATTATTTTTTAAATTTGACCAGAGAGAGAGACACACACAGAAAGGGAAAGTGAGAGAGCAAGCCACCAGGTCCAGGACTCAAACCTCAGTTGGCCATGTGGAAGTCCAAGATATGGACTTAACCACTACACCACCTGCTGGTCCCTCAAGGCTATTTTCTTTCTCCACACTTCCCCAAACAATAAATCCTTCTCTCTGCTCTTCAGCCTCTTCCTTCCTGTCCCTGTCCTAAATACTCTCACTCTGCTCCCGCTGTCCTCTCCCCAGCCCTTCTGGCCTTTTCTCCCTGCCCTGCTTTTGTCTGGCTTTGCCTTCCTCCCCTTGGACCCTGCCCACCTTCCTTGGGGTAGGACTTGGGTGGAGTTGGACTTGAGTGAACCACGGTGCGGGAATAGGTATGATGGTGACTGAGTCGCGGGGACCCCTCTGTTCTGATGTCGAGCCCGATCCCTTCTCCAGTAGTGAGACTGAGCCTCATTAGGAGTAGCTTACTTGCATTTGTCATCTTGATAAATAAAAATACAGATTTATGTAACAGATAACTTAGGGAGTGAAGGGATCTTGTTTTCGTGTTTGTAAATTTAGCAGAAAGGGATGTTGAACCAGTGGGACCCAGGCTGCAGATAACTACTGTGTCTCTTCTGTCTCCTTTCCAACTCCATCCATTTAGCTGTGCATGTATATCTCCATTCTTCCATCTAGTATAGTCATCTGTCCATCTATGCATGCATCCATTATATCTGTCTGTTCATCTACCCACCTATCCATCCATCTTTCCTTCTATCCACCATTAAGTCCATCATCCATCGACTTGTAATATCCATCCATCCATCCATCCATCCTCCCATCCATTATATCTGTCCATCCATCCATCCATTCATCTTTTCTATCCTTCATCCATTAGATCCATGCACTCATTAAATACTGTTGAGCACCTATCCTGTGCCAGGAATGACGTTAGATACTTGACACTCCAAGATGGACAGTATCCTCAGTTTGCACATGAAGGGACTGAGATGCTATGCAGCTAAGCTGGTGAAGTGTCACAGTGAGTAAATGACAGCTCTGGAATTCCACTTTACCTGCTCCCAAACCTATGCTCCTAGCATTGAATCAGGGGGCCTCCCTTGGTGTGTCCCCAGTGCCTAGTACTGAAGGTGGAGCACAAAAGCTGGTTACCAAATGGATGGACGTGCCAAGGTTCTAGAGCCTAGCGTAGGAGCAGCCTGGGGGTGGAAGGCCTGCAGGACTTCCAATCCTCTTGGCATTTGCCACCAGGAACCTCATGTCGCTCACTCCCTTCAGTGTGAGGTTTCTTCTCCCCACGTGCAGCCCTGGCAAGCCCTCGTGCCTTCTCTCTTCTCAGCCCCACTTCTGAGGGCAATCTTGTGTTCCCACAGGTGGGAACGTTCCAGGTACACATTCGGCCAGTCTCCCCCAGGGGTCCTACACACCTGCCTCAGTTTCCCCTCAAGCTGGGTCTCCTCCTATTTCCCTGGCCCTTTTATTGGCTTTTCTTTCTACACTTTAGAGCCAGCTGCCCGAGTTCAGGTTGAATCTGCCTCAGCAGGCCCCACTGGCTGGAAGAGGATGTGAATGCGAGTGATTGACGTGGGCGGTTCCTCCAGGGAACACCCCAGTGGAGCTCTTGTGAGACAGGGGAGGGAAGGAAGCCAATCAATTCATGTTAGGGGGCAGATGATGGCTGTGGCATCCCAGGCTCGACCCCACTGGGGGCCTCTTGGAACATGCTTTGGAGTTACCCAGCGCAGGGATGGGGGTCTCGAGTTAGGGGCTGCTGTGAGGGCAGGGCGCGGGCTCCATCGGCCCTAGGACAGAGGCAGGTGCTGGCCACTGGGCGTGTTCAGGTGGGCAGGCTGCCAAGTCGCCCAGCCCAGGCTGGTGGTCTGCCAAGCCCTTTCCCACAGCCCCGTTCCTGTCTATGTCTAAGAGGCTGCCCCAGCAGACTCTTCCCCTGGGGCCAGTCACTGCTATCACATTCCCTGTGTTGACAGACGCTTAAGGAACACCCACCAGGTGCCGTGGGCAAAAAGAGGAAACCATCAGGGTCCCTCTTGATGCTTACAGTGGACGAAAGGGACCCTGCGTGAACGAGGTCCTTGTCGCACCCCAGGTACTGGCCAGCCCACCTCTGGCCTCCTCCAAGGCGAGTGCAGCCTGCATGCCAGTCCCTCCCAGAGGGAGGCCGGAGTGGGCCTGAGTCTTGGGTCTCCAGTCCCCTCGCAGCCCTAGTCCTGAGACGGACTGCCGAGGCTCTTCTGGCTTCCCTTTCCGTTCTCTCACTGCCCCTGCCTCTCCACGGCCCATGGCTGCCACGTGGCTGTCTTTTAGTCAGTCAGGAACTCAAACTTCTAGTGCCCTTCCTCTGTCTATTGGGGACAAGGGCTGCAATTCACGGGCAACGTGAGGATTGTGCATGAAGGGCCGCCCCTTGTCCCTGCTGCTCTGGACTCCGCCTCTCCCACTCCTAGCCTCCCAGCCTCGCCCTACAGTTCTCCTGCCTCATGGGCCTAGGGATTGGGAAGAGTCGAAAGAGGGAAGTGGTGTGTAGGTGAGGCCTCCTGCTGTGGGGGCTGAGACACGGATGGGGCAGGGGCAGGGGCTGGGCCTAGCTCCCGTGCTGGGCCTCCGGAGGGCTGGCCACACTGCAGTCCCTTTGACTCATCCCTTCAGCTGCCGCAGCCTTTCCTCCTGATGTTTTCACTTCCAAATCAGGTCTGGCGGCAGGGCCAGAGCGTGTCTGCCTGGCGCAGTGTCTCCGTTAGCTCTGACGCTCTCCACCCACTTACAGGAGTGTCCGTTTTCCCAGCCCACTTGGATAGAAAGGTGGCTGGGCCAGCTGGTGGCGTGGTGGTTAAGGCGGCTGGATCCCACAGGGCTGACTGTTCGAGTCCTGGACCCTGCAACTTGAGAAACATGTCAGGTGTGTGTGTGTGTGTGTGTGTGCATGTGCGTGTGTGCGTGTGTGCCCAAAATCTCCAGAGGAGAATGGAGAAGGTGTTACGGTGCCGCTCTCTCCCCTGCAGGGTTCTTTCTCTCTCTCTCTCCGGTGAGTGTACAAGTACCCTGTACCAAAAATTAAAAACAAAACAAAACGAGGTGTCTGTACTTACTCAGGGCAGGTGTGCTGGCGTGTGCGGGGAGGAGGGGCACGGAGAGGGTGTGGAAGGAGTGGGAGGGGGGTTGTGGCAAGGCCTCCGCTTCTGGTCTCTGCGTTGCACTCAAGCATCTTTGGACCAGGGAGGTGGCGTGAGGCAGCTGCCCGTCTCTCCCCTCTGGGGGAAGGAGCAGCTCCCAGCCTTGGAGCGGGAAGCAGAAGGGCAGGAGACCAGATGGAAGGGAGGCCATTAAAGGGGGAGAGCAGAGACACCAAAGCTCTCCCCGGCACACCCCAAGCCCAGGCGCTGGCTGCGTCCCCCTGTCCTGGTAAGGGGAAGCGTTCCTGCATATCTAAGGGCAGAAGACCTGGACGGAGGTGCCTGCTTCTCTCACGCGGGTGCAAGCGGAGGGGGAAGGAGTGCCAGGGCAAAGGGGACAGAGGCGGCTGCTCCCTGGCCCCTGTGGGGTGTGGGGATGTGCTACAGGAGGCCGGGGCAGGGGTCGGGGGCCGGCTTTCAGGGCAGGTCTCCTCTGGCTTCCGCAATGGAGACGGGGTGGGACGCCGGCCCAGGTGTACAGGGTGTGCCGGGCGGGGCAGGAGCCTGGTTCTGCCATCACTGCGGAGCCCTGGGGTGGGCAAGGGAGGCCCCTGGACCTGTGCCCCTGTCGGCTCTCCCAGAAGCTCAGCTCTTGGGCACTGCCGGAGAGGCCAGTGGGGCAGGTGCAGGCAGTGAGGGAGAGCGGCCCTCGGCCTGCCCTCGGCCACCTGAACTGCCTGTGGCTGTCCGGTGGCCTCCGCGCTGGCGGCCTGTCCTGCCCCCGCCGGCGTGAGTCAGAGCGAAAGCAGAAGCTGCCAGACGTTGCGCAGGGTGAAGCGAGGCAGAACCAACTGTGCTATTTTGGAACCTGGTTAATTCCCCACCCGCCACTGCCCCCCTTCTCTCAGGGCTCCCCCCACCCGGCTCTGGTTCTTCGGCTTCCTCATGGGTACAGTTGGGGCAGGACTTGATTTCCCCTGGTCTGTGTGTGGAGGGGTGCTGAAAGCACGTCCCCTTTCAAGACCCTCTCCCGGTCAAGAGGTGCTTCTCAGGGAACAGCGTCTGGGGGTGGCTAGAGGGCAGAGCACCCCCTTCCCATGGGAGCTCACGGTGGCCCTGGTAAGATGATGGTTGCTGGCTTCCCGCACTGCCCTACTGGCGCCAGCACCCCACCCACCCCTGCCCATCTTCGGCCACTCTGGGGCCAGCTGTCAGCGGCCCTCCCAGGGGTGTGAGCTGACAAGAGCTTCAGGTGGGAGCCTCTCCTGGCAGTGAGTCTCACAGGGTTGGGAGGGATTTCCGGACCCAGAGCGGAGATATTTTGGGCTGAGGGCCTTTCCAGCCCCGTGAAATCACACACCCTGCAGCAGCCCCAGCTGACCCCCTACTCAGTGGTTCTTCCTTGGGCATCCTTGGCCTGCTTGGGGTTCCGGCCCCACATCTTCAGATTTTTTGGAGCCTGCGTGGGTGTTGGGGCCTCTGCAGCCCAGCCCGTGGTGGTGGAGGTCAGTGGGGCATGCATTCCCAGCTGGGGGTGGGGATATGAAGGGAGAGAGCTGTCACCTGTCTGTGGCCAGGGAGGAGAAGGGTCCCGCCCCTCCTGAAGCTGTGTGTCTGGGGAGAGGGTGGGCTTGCCATTGGTCGGCATGTGCGTGGGAGGCGGGCTCAGCCTCTGCTGGGTGTGGCTGCTCTTGGTGGGCCTTGTGGTCGGAGTGTCACTGTGCTGTTTACCCCCCAGCAACGTGGGGTGCTGGGTGTTCGTGCGCTGGGGGAGGGGGTCAGCAGGCAGGTGACCAGTTGAAATCTGGGTTTGTGCCAGCCTCAGGTGAGCAGGACTTGGGCTTCTCATTGCTCAGACAGAGCCAGAGTTTAGGCACCTGAGAGGGGAGAGGGGCAAAGCGGGGTGGAGGGAGGGTGCGCACCCAGGTCTGCTGCCGGGGACCCAGCACCCCAGCCTTCTGGGGGACACAAGGACTCACACTGCCTGAGGCCCCTGCTCTGTGCTGGAGCTGTTCTTTGGGCGGGCAAGTCTAGGGCTGGTCCATGTGTGTGTGTGTGTGTGTGTGTGTGTGTGTGTGTGTGTGTGTGTGTGCGCGCGCACAAGAAACAGCATGTGTGTGCGAGGGTGTGTCTCGCACGGTCTATCTGGGTTGGTTTCCACTAGTAACTAGGCCATTTCCCCACCCCACAGACCTCTGTTTCCCCTCTGCAGGGACAGAGCCCCAGCCCTAAGGGAGCCCAGGGCTGCGGCCTGCATTCTGACCTCCACCTTGGCCGCAGCCTGGAGTGAGGGCTGTTTGCTCAGGCACATCGCGGGGGTGCCTAAGGGCGCTGCCTTTCTTAGAGCCTCTCCACCATGGGCCTGCACCTCCCTGCTCTCTCCTCCCACCTGTCACCAATTTTCATGCTTGGGACCAGGTGACCAAGGCCCCAGAGGGCACAAAAACAGTTTCTTTAAGGAGCCCAGGAATCTCCCGGGCAACAGTGAAAACATGGCTCTGGCTCAGTCCTCTGGCCTGGGGGCCTGGAGTCTGTGATCCCAACCAGCCACTGGGCATGGTCCTAAACGCCTGCTCCCATGCAGACTCTAGCCTGGTGGCCCGAGTCTCCTGGGCAGGGGGCTAGCACTCACAGACCACCGCGTAGGTGCCAGGCACAGCCACACGGCAGCTCCTTTTACCTCCCACCTACCCCGAGGAAGGTGGCACTACTGCCCTCTGTTCAACAGGTGGGGAGACCAAGGCTCTGCAGATTCGGCTCTAACCTGTCGGGGTGCAGAGCCAATGCACCTTCCACCAAACCCAGCTATTTTCCAGAGTCGGCTCAGGACAGGTGATGCAACTGTGGGTGCGGGCTCCGGGGGGTCAAATGTAGCTGCCAGGGACCTGCAGGGGGGAGCCCTGGGAGGCCCTGGGGTGGGGTGGGGGTGCCTTGAGGGGAAGCTGGGACTGAATGGGGAGTAGTTCTGGGGCAGGCAGGAACTGAGCGGGGCTTGGTCAAGGGCTCCTCCTCACTGCTGGGATTAGGATCCCCTCCATACCTGCCTCCTCAGGCACCGGACAGGCCCCCATTGTGGTGCCCTGTGCACTGGGGCTACAACAGGGGGTGGGTGGGTGTGGACTCAGACCGTGGGCCCCAGTGTGTGGCTCGGCCAGCGTTCAGCCTCTCCGTGCCTCAGTTCTGCTCTGTAAGAGGGGCTCGCAGGGGGCAGGTTGTAATGAGGATTCAATCAGTGGTACAGATGGGCTGGGAGCTGTACCTCCCGCGTGGTGAGCGCTCAGGGTGTGTGCCTGGAGACCACGGGCCACTGTCTGCGACTGAATGCAGCTGTCAGCGCGGTCGTGGTGCCTTTCTCCCTTCTCCTTCATGACTCCTGTGGCTTTTACTTAGCAAAGTCTGGAAACTTCAGTTATAAAGAGGGTTGTTGCCAAAGCTCTCAGAGGCAGTTAGGTTTTTTTTTTAAAAGAATTATTTATTTCTTATTTAATTTTATTTGTTATTATTACTATTTTTAAAATTTGACCAGAAAGATATAGAAAGAGAAAGAAAGGGAAAGTAAAAAAGAAAGAAAGCTGCCAGATCTGGGACTCAAACTGAGGTCACCTGTGTGGGAGTCCAGTACCTTAATCACTTCACCACCTGCCAGTGCATCTCCCCCTTCCACCAACCCCCTGTTGTCCCCCCACACCCATGCAGATGCGTGGTGGCTAAGGGCGCTGGACTCCCATGTGAGTGGCCACGGTTCGAGTCCTGGACCTGGTGGCTTACTTTCTCAGTTTCTCTCTCTTTCACTCACACACACACACACACACACACACACACACACTGTCCCTCTCTGGTAAAATTTAAATAAATGGATAAATAATGTTAAATAAAATAATTAAAAATAAATAAATAAATAAAGCCAGACAGGGCCAGCAGGTGGCATGGTAGTTGTGGTGCTGAACTATGGTTGACCATAGTTCAAGTCCCAGACCTGGAGCTTGAAAATCACACCAGGCACATGTACATGCATGCCCAAAATCCCAGGAGAAGGGACTGTGGCATGGCCGTCCCTCTCAGGGATAATTTCTCATTTTCCCACTCACCGTCTCTCTCTCTCTCTGGAGAGCACACACACTCTATGACAAAAACATTTAAAAAATAAAAAATAAAAATAAAGGGCCAGTGGATGGCATGGTGGTTGAGGCACTGGGCTCCCACATGGCTAACTGTGGTTCGGGTCCTGGATCCACTAGCTTGCTTTCTCACTTTCCTTCTGTCTCTCTCTCCCTGTCTCCCTTGGTGAGCGCATGTGCTGTATGTCAAAATGAAAAACAGTAATAACAATAAAAAAATTAAGTAATTCTTTAAAAAATAATAAAAATGAAAAATACATGAAAATAAATACATGAACGAATAAAGCCAGGCAGTGGTTCTTCATAGTGAGAAGCTGCAGGGAAAGTGGAGAGGCGGGGTGGGAGCTCCTGGGAGCGGTAAGCAGGCCTTATGGGGTCAGGTGTGCTCTGTGGACTCCAAGTCTGGGGCAGGGACGGCCGGGTATGGATGGCTTAGGTACGGGGACCCTGAGGGCTGTTAGAGCCGGAGGCCAGACGCAGGGAGGCCTGGGCCTGGGGCTGGGTTTGGAGCAAGGCCCGGCTGTGTGCCCCTCTGTGGCGGAGATGCAGCGGCAGAGGCGGGGCCCTAAGGCTGCCCTGGCTCTGGAGAGGGAAGGCCTGAACACTGGGCAGCAGTAAGTGTGGCGATGAGGAGCGCCAGCCCTGTGTCCATGCGGTCCTGGCCATGAGCACCTCCAGGCTGCCAGAACCCTCAGCACACCTGACAGCTGAAGGAGTCGTGAGAGGTCCCTTCCAGTCCCTGCATGTTGACAATGAGGGCCCAAGACCCCGAGAGGGCACAGGACTTGCCCAAGGTCACACAGCCCAGTGGTGGTACAGCCGATGCAGGTCTTCCAGTCCCCACTCTGGCTTGGGCAGGCCTTTATGCCAGGCCTGTGCTGCTGGAGAGCCTTGGAGGGACAGACCCAGTCCAGAGGCTCCAAGCTGTGGTCCCAAACCCACGATGGCATGAGATGGTCAGTCAGGTGAAGTCTTGGGCCTCCTGTTCCCTGGGGGAGGAAGGGGGACTCAGTGACCCCGTGGGTCAGCCTATATATCTTAGCTGATCCTCCCTTGCAGGGGAAAGGTGGGGTGGGGTGGGCCAGATGGGGCCTGAGGCACTGGGAGGCCTAGTGTCTGAGCCCCTCCCGCCCCGCGCTCTCAGTCCCCGTCCTATCCAGGAGCTGCCCAC